TTTTCCCATTCCATTACGTAAAAGCCTCTCCATTAGAGGACTCTATAACTTTATTAACATAGCCACCGACTTATTTTTCTGAATCGTTATGACAAATCTTCTAAAATCTTTCGTATCTTTCAGTCTGGTTATCATCCGTAGAGAGAAGGCATGGTACTGAGAAAAATGAAATTTACCACGCTTACATGTATACACACGAGGCCTTCCTCTGCTGGCCAGAGATTATTCAATTATAGGAGAGTAAACTTGTGAAATTCATAAGACAAAGATTTAAAACTTTGTAAAGGTCCTGCAAACTTTAAAAAAAATTTAGAAACAAAGATGTTTAACAAGTTTTTTAAACAAGATTTGTTGTAACATACTTTCATAAATGATACATTTATTCGATGAACACATATATTTTATTCTGTCTATGATATTTGTTTATCGTATTGTTCCCTGAAAAACCTGTGTCTGGAGTGGACAATAAAGTGAAACCTTAAACCTCTCATTCGTGGTTAAAGCTTTCTGGGTTAAAAACGCTTTTTGCAGTCGATTGTAAATTCTAAGTTCAACTAAATTAAATTCGTTTTGAAATATCCCTCCTCCTCAGCTCCTTGTAAAGCCTTCGACTATGGGCCTATGTTTATATGAAAGCCGTGCCGATGCTAGATCTTTTAAAGTATACCCACTCTTGTAATTCTACCATAAACTGAAGCTTTGTCTGTATTAGAGCACGTCTGGATGATAGTCCTGCAATTCATAGATAAGAGAGAGGTTTAGAGGAAACAAGGAAACAAGCTAAGCACACTTTTGCAAAAGTTACACAGCTGAAGCTCTGTATAAATCTGTCTTCAAACGTTCTGTTTACCTGCAGTCAGAACTAGTCAACTTGAATGCTGAGTGAAAGTATCGCCATATGGCCACCACCTGTTTGTATTTATTCAGACTCTCCCTCCCGTATACGTATTTGCTTTTCACCTAAGTCTCCTACACTCCTTCAGGAACCCTATTTTATCTCTCAAAGCTGAATAAGCGCAACTTCTCGTATGCGAAACCATAAGATTTTAAAACTTGTGGTCGCAATTTAGTTTGATTTTCTTCGCCATACTTTTCTCTTGTGGTATCGTTTGAGGTAATAGTAGATTTGCATCTTGCTGTGACAATGCGACCTGAGTTTGTATATTTTATTAGGTAAACACAACAGCCATAGTTTGTGCAGCTTGCTCTTTTTGAATGGCAACTTGAGTTAGCTCTTGGCAGACACTACAGAAAACAGAGCCAGATATAAGCTTCGATTCTTGTTAGATACTTCATCATTGAAACAGCTATTTGTCAGCAAGGATGAGTAACCTTTTTTCGTTAATTGCGGTTTTCCTTTTCACCTTTGAAATAGTTTGGACACTTAGAGGTAATTGATAGGGACCTTAACAACTTTCGATTTGATTCTTTGGCTTTTTAAAAGATTTTGTGTACATCGCTTTTACCCTTGTAGCTAGGTTGCACAACTCTCCTCCTCGATTTCTTCACATGGAATTGGTAGTTTATTCACTGGTAGTTCCTTTGAGTTGTAGATGGTGCGATCGCCTAAAGAAACTTTCCTGACGATTATCAAACATCTTCAGCAAAGGCAAATGATTAAGGAGGCGCAAAACAATATCCACTCCTAATACAATAGAGAGTTTAAACACAACCAAGAAATACTTAAAATTATTTTCATTTTTTCTTGGTGTATGGCCTAAAAAGGTAGGCTCCCCAAGCATTTCGTCTCAAGGCGTTGGTAAAAACTTACAGATTGTAGCTATTAATTTCAAAAAATATCGAAGAGCCTTTGAATGACCGTTTAAAGCTCTTCAAAATTTCATTTCTTGTCATTTAAGGAGAATTTCTTTCAACTCCTCTCATCATTTAACTCCAATTGATTTCATTAATAGTTCCTCGCTCGACGTACGCCGGCCGCCAGCTGCTCGTAGGATACTGGGGACAAAACGGAGCAGGACCCGCAAATGGCCCAGCAAACTACGAAAAGTCGCTGCTTGAAGTGTGCAGGACAACAAAATACGACATCTTAGCTGTGTCTTTTGTCATTGTCTTCTTTGACCCAAGAAACAAAGGTAAGAAAGTGTTTTCTTGAGTTAACCTGTAATAAAGCAAATTTAAACTGAGAAGTAGAATGTATTCGAACATTCAATTGCCTTTGTTATTCTAAGCTTAAGTTATGAATCTCTTGCCACGCTCTGTACCATTAACATAATGGACCTAAATCTTTCAGAAATATATGCTCTGTCCTTTACTAAGCCTTAATGTCAATCAACTATCAAAGAACTGTAAACTATACCAAGCCAGGACTACTTCTCAGTCACCAAAAGAATAGGAGGCTTCTGTTAGGAAGAGAAATTCTGATTACCCCAGCAGAATTTAGAATTCAACACTACAAATGCTGGAGACGAAAAAGTCCTCAATATTTATTGAAACACGCATATATTTCTTATATACGTTCTTTTCGTCCTTTAGGTCTTCCAGCGCTGAACTTTGCTTATCACTGCGAGACATCTGTTTCTTCAGAGTATCCTTTCCTGTTGAGATGTCCAAAAATAGAAGAAGGGATATTAGAATGTCAGAAAAGAGGAAAGAAGGTCTTGATGTCTATAGGTGGTGCCACAGGTGATGGAACTCTACCCTCCGCTTACAAGGCCAGAGAACTTGCCAGAACTCTGTCCGATTTGTTCTTAGCTGTGGGAAATCGCTACCAAGATTTGAGACCTTTTGGAAGGTATCTACAATTTATTTGAACAATGCAACGTAGAGCAGAAATTGTTTTAGGCATATCTCAGGGAATAGCGGTGAGTAGGAAGCTAGCCTGCTGGAATCCGTATCGCGAGATTCGGGTTCGAGAAGCTTTCGCGTTGTTGTACTGTGTTCTTAGGCAAAACGCTCTAATCTCACCGCCTTTCCCTTCAGCCAATTGTAATGATGGGTAGTTAAATGCATTTCTCGTGGGTTATCAGCTATGTAAAAGTAAACCGTTGCTTTGTGCTGAGATACAGTGATAGTTTCGAACAGTATTGGGCCACTAGTCCCACTCTCAAGATCTTAAGAGTAATTATCTCTGCCATATTTTTTATGCTAGTTCTGAGAATCTAGCATCGGACAAAGTGATTTCCCCAAATTGATATTCTTTTTATTCTCATTAACTTTCTGCCTATTTTTGTGCGATTATTGTAAGGAGAAATAAGCTATTGATCAATTTTTGATGTGAAAGGGTCAAAGGCGTAAAAACTTTAATTCGTAAAGACTGACTTTCTAATAAATGTGTTCATTAATTCAACATTAACGGTTCGTTCTATGAACGGGGCAAAATAAGTCGCAAATTGACTCAAGCCGACTCTAGACCACAAAGAAAAGACCACACCTTATTGATTTTATCAAAAATTAAGTTAGCCTTGCTATTAATGAAAAGCAGTGAGTTAGCGTGATCAGGTTCTAAGAGCTTCAAAACTTTAAATAATGTTTTCCTAGTGCTGTCATGGACGGTATTGATCTTGACATCGAGGGAGGAGACAAGAAACACTACGGGGAGTTTATTCAGGAATTGCGAACGCTCATGGACAACGACCAATCAAAGGGTTATCTGATCACAGGCGCGCCTCAGT